TCACAGTATGAAACAGTGGAATGGATGACTGGTTGTGAAATTCGATCAAAACTTTTCTGTTGTCCCTGTTTAGTGTTCTCCAAGGAGAGTGGTGTGTGGAATAAACATGGGTTTTATGATCTCAACCATTTAACTACAGCACGACAGAAACATGTTCAGTCTCTTTTTGATCTTAAAATGTTTGGGAAACAAAGAATTGACACATTAATTAATTGACTACCAACGGAAAATTTAAGTAAGCCGACACAATGAGCAAGTAAAAAAAAGAAGAGAGATTTTGAAATGGATTAATGATGCAATATGCGATCTAGCAAAACAAGAGCTTCCTCTACGAGGTCATGACAAGTCTAGTAATTCAGTAAACAGAGGTAATTATATAGAATTACTGAATGCACTTCAAAATTACGATTCTCTTTTAGATAATCATTTAAATACATGAACCGTGTTTCAAGGTACTTCTCCAACTGTGCAAAATGACATCATCCAAGCTATATCTAATCTTGTCAAAGATCATATTAAAAGAGAGATAAGTTCAGCAACATTTGTTGCTATTATTCTTGATGAACCTTCAGATGTGATGTCAAAATCACAGCTTTCAACAGTTTTGCGTTTTGTTCATAAAGGCAAAATACATGAAAGATTCGTTGGATTTACAGATGTAATGCTGATAGAACTTCTGATGGTCTGTTCAGTCACATTGTTAACAATTCAAGAATTTCAAATTCAAGACAAATTGGTTGGACAGGCTTACGGCGGAGCAAGTGTAATGAGTGGACATATAAACTGTTTGCAGAGCAAAGTTCTTAGTGCCTATCCTCTGGCACTGTTTACACACAGCTATGCTCATGTGTTGAATTTAGTCTTACAGCAAAGTCTTTCCAACATAAAGGAGTGTAGAATTTGTTTTCAAACTTTAAATGGATTAGCAGCATATTTTTCTAAATCTTCTAAAAGAGCACATGCTGTACATGAGTTTGTTGTTAGAAAGCTACCCTCTGTAGCACCTACTAGATGGAATTTTACATCTTGTTTAAGTAACACGGTACAGAAATACAGAAGTCAGTTCACTGAAATTTTCCATGTTATTGAAAATTCTGAAAACTGGGACACTGATGCCACTGTGAAAGCACGACGATTTTGGAGCTTCTTCGAAGATTTTCAAACAATTTTGCTCCTTGAGGTTTTTTGTTCAATCCAGAATGCGATGCCTAGCTTATACCTAGGTATGTTAATGCCTGGCAATAACTCGCCAGGCCAACATACAGGCAATTAAAACATCTAATAATTACTTAATAAGTAATATTAGGAGGACACGTCGTTACCTGGAATTTTATTGCATTTCTCAAAACCCCCTCTCGCACCCTCCATCACACGCACTGCCACCGTCATCTTCTTGCCTGGCGAATCAGCTGTAAATACACACAAAGAAGGCTCTGCGAATTTGTGTTGTAATAGCTGAAATACCAAGTGCCACGAGGATTTTATATACAGTATTTATACATCTTAGCACAGTGAGGAAATAGAGTGACTTTTATTTTGTTTATATCTCTCAATTATTGTGTCTGGGACAATTTCTTATACGATCTCTGGTCAGCATCATGGCGACCACAGCGCATCTTCTTTATGAAGTCGCTAGATTTAAGAATAGCACCATCCCATCTATTGTTAAAATAATAAACAACTCCTGATTTATGTACTGTACAGCCGTGTAAATGTATTCAATGCATATTATATCATTGTCTAAATCAAATGTAAGTCTGTATATTTTCAGCCACCGGCTGCAACTCTATTAATAAACCGTTTATTATTATTATTATTATTATTATTATTATTATTATTACACACACACACACTGGAACTAGCCGTTTGGGGGGTGTTGCGGTAACTTTTACCCCCATAGACCCTTCTCGCTCTGGCTGGGAGGAGGGGGAGATGTGGTGTCAACAGCCAGAAGGAGAGATTAGTGCTTACTCAAGGATTGAGAAAGTTTTATTTTTTTGCTTATAAAATTGCACTGACTTTACTTAGGAGAATATAACTTGCATTGCTGAAATTCTTGTATGATAGCAATTAATTTGAGTATAAACATCCCTTATTTTGTACCAGACAATAATTTTAGTAATTAATTTAGTACATTTGAGTACAGGTTGTGATAATTAATGTGGTTGCAGCTTCAAAGCTTTGTGACATCACTAATGTATAATGAGTCTCCATATGCCCTGGTTTATTCATTGATCAGTTGTCTAAGAGCAAAAGTGTTTCTCTCTCTCTCTCTCTCTCTCTCTCATATATATAGGATGAGGACATCAGCGCTGACGTAGCCATGGTCTCTTGATCATGGAGACAGCTGCCAGCCTGGTTTGTCAGGCCCTTCCCTTTCCTCATCTCCTTCTCATCTGGATTTATCAACATCCACCCATCAACAGTACAGTGCAGATTGACGATCAACCCACAAGTAATATGGAAAAGTAACAATTTCAACTCGAAAGGAAGAAACAATTGTTAGGGTAACAATCAGTGCTTAGCAGTCAATTTGACCTGACGTGGGCCTAACACACTCAGTCCGCGGTACACTCACCACCAGCCCTGGATGAGAAGCCAAGAAGGACTCCAAACTACTTCAGGAGAGAAATGTGGACTCCCTACTCCACCCAGGTGAGGAACTATGAATTCCAAACTATATCACATGAGGTACAAAAACCATCTCCAACACCCTGTGTGAGCTGAAGGACCTACCCGGACCACGTGGTCCAGCTGTAGTGAGGTAGCGGATTAACACCCAGGTACAATGCAATGGACATCCAGTGAGGTCACAAGAATGTCTACAAGGCCAGCTCCCACAGTACCAGATCTATAGTTAATCTATATGTTGACAATGTTTCTTATGTTTTTGTATTGAAAGCTTTTGTCAATCAAGTGACCCACTCCCTGATTTCACCATATGTAACTTATCACCTCTGTTCATTGTATATTTTCAGCCTTTGGGTTGCCATGTTATCTTAATAAACCGTTAATTATTATTATTATTTTTATGCACACACAGAGTGAGTGAGTGAGTGAGTGAGTGAGAGAGAGTGGAATTATGGCTACAAGCATCCAGTAAGGGTTGTGTGACTGCGTGGAGGCGAATTAAAAGATCAGCTGTTGTGGAGCTTATTGCTTGGTAACACTGGTGCATGTTACCACTCCTTTCCACTTCATCTCTCTAATCACCCATTACCTTTCTGCTTTCTCACTCCATATTTTAAAATGTTATGTAATGTAATGTTCAAGGAATGCAACTTTGCTCATTTATACTTATGCTTATCACAATCTCCCTAAGATTACTTAAGCTTTCGTGTTATTCAAAACATCAGGTCATGAGACCCACTAATCCCCCACCCAAGAAAGGGTAACCTGACATTCCATCAGAATGTTAATAATATGAGACCACTAATCCTCCACCATACCTCCACCTGACATTGAGTCAGGTCAGGTTCCCTGCCAAAAAACACTTTAACTTTCATCTTTATTCAAAACATTTTCAGAAAATCCTCTCGATTTTCAACCCCAGAATTTTTTTTCTTAAAGATGGAAATTTTTGGAAAATTCCGGCTTTGGGAATGATTTTCCAAGCAAATTTCAATTCAGGCCATTGGAGATTTCCGGGTTTGAGGGATTGGTTAACGGAGATATTACTGTACCTAGTGTTCATACGCAAACATAAAATTATTTAATTTTAATTTTTTTGTTCATACACAAATTTGCGTATGAAAACCTCAAGAGTGTTAAACAACCATGTATCACCTATAAGTAAGAAATGACACTGATAGGAATGCATCTTCATAGCAAATATGTTATAATGATCCATTGAAAGCTGATTCACAGAGAGCTCTCTTCTCCAGGAACGCATCCTGAGCTTTCGATCGGGTATTATTGTAGTCGGTAAAATAAGTATTGACCACACCAAGGTTGGGGGAATAGTGAGTGAGTGATAATAACAATCTGATGCCGGTAACCACAGGTACTGTTAACATACAATTTTCACAGCTTGCACAATGTTTCATATTGTTCCACACTGCAGGGTGGTCATTACAGTCGACCCTCGTTAAAACGGACTAATAGGGGGGAAAGGGTGTCCGTTTTAGCCGATTGTCCGAATTAACCGATTTAGGGGTTAATATTACATTATACAGCTATGTGTATGTTTATTTGAGTGCCCCGTCATAGGAGTCCGTTTTCTCTCACTTCAGCACTCCTGAGTCGTCCGTTTTCTCTTAATCTTAGAGTGCACCAGAGACTGTTATATCTTAGTAGTGACACAGAATTTGATATTGCAACTGGGGTTGCAATTGTTGAGGCAACTTAGGTATCTGATTACAGTTGGAATATTCAAGATCCATTGTGAGTGATGTTTAAAGCTTCAACTGTCTTTATGGTTGGTAAAACTTGTCAAGTCTGTCAGTCTGAATGGCATGTGTGAGGCCTTGTGTTTGTACAACCGCTAAATATATAAATATATAATGTTATGATAATTATCAGAAACACATAGGCATAACGAGGTTTATTACAAAGTGATGAAAAGGATACTGTACAGTGGCTAGTCCACAAAACATGTAGCCATGTCCCTTTATTTGAGTGCCCCGTCATAGGAGTCCGTTTTCTCTCACTTCAGGACGCCTGAGTCGTCCGTTTTCTCTTAATCTTAGAGTGCACCAGGGACTTTGTTATTTCTTAGTAGTGACACAGAATTTGAAATTGCAACCCCAATTGCAACTGGGACAATCCCAGAACCAGAAATTTGATATGGACAGTTCAGACTTGGTCCGATTTATCCGAAATCCGGATTAAAGGGGTCCGAATTAACGAGGGTCGACTGTACTTGTTTTATTGACTTCAGTAAATAGGAAGAAGATGAAAAAGAGTAGTTTTGAAGACTGGTGTAGAAATTATTGCTGTCTTGGAAATAAAACAACCTAAGAAATTGTTTTGCCTACTTATGCAAGTTTTATTATCAACAGGAATACTCCAATCAATACAAGCAAGTCATTGTATCCGAATGCACATACTGGTTTGGTACACATATATAACCCGGGCATAGTGGGCGTGATGTGGCTGTTGACTCTACAAGATCAAATGGTCACTACTCTCTGCCAAGGATGGATAGATGATAGACATGTTAAATGGTATGTTTTCATCAGTGTTGTTATGGAGCCTTAACTGAGGATTCTGTTTTGGGCCCAAATTTATTGCCACTTAAATGATTCTTGTATATTGTATGTTACCCATGTTTATGAAATATCTTGATCATCATGACTTTTAAATATAATCTTCTTTTGACAAGTTTTGTAATGCATAGTCATTTTTACAATAAGTTTCCTTTATGACAAAAACAAATGTAAACTTCTTATTTGTACAGATTTGTGTGAAAATTTAGGGTAGTAAATGACTACTGTTCTTAGTTTTAGCAGCTTTGCCTTAAACTAAGACATGCATACTACACCCAGTAGAATGTTTATGCTATGAAGGTTTATGATAAAGACACTGTTTACTCGCCTGGAGTTGTTGGCCGAGTATAGTTTTAAAAGTCGCTCATAAATCAAAATGTAGCCTCTAATTTGTAAAAAAAGAAAAAAAGTGAGAAGTACGGTACATTATTGGTACACCATTGCTTTCTTAAAAATCATACTTGTAAATGTTGTATGATGTTACTACAGCAAACCATTACTGTAAAACTTTTTTGTAGAGGTAGTACAGCACTGCCGCCCCATTACATCTTTATGCAGTTAACCACACGCTACTGCTGTGAGTAAAGAGGCTGATACGAGACCGGCAGTGCCGTTCACAGATGTTGCACATGTGGAGGGCTACATCTAGTGTGGGAAGGGCGGCGGCAGCATCTTTCTGGCGTTGGTATGCAGTCGGGCTAACTAAAGTATTGACACCTCGCGTGGTGCTCCTCCAAGCTTTACGGTGTGAAGTAATCGTCTCCCAGGTGAGGGAGTCGATTTGGCACTTTTCAGGTTTGTCTTAAGACTACTCTTATACCTTTTCAGTTACCTGCCAGCCTTATGTTTATTATTCGTTAGGTAACTGGAAAGTTGCTGCTTTGACAGTCTACTGTTATCCTTGCGGGTAACATGGCCAGTTCAGCGCAGTTGTTCATGGATAATGGTAGCCTTGATGCTCCTACAGTTGTTGTCAGCGAGAATACTGGCATTTGTTTTCTTGTCTTCCCAGTGAACTTGGAGGATGGAATTTAGACTACGTTGGTGAAATTGTCAAGTGCCTTGAGGTGCCTCCTGTATGTGACCCATGTCTTGCTGTCATATAACAGGGTGGGGAGGACCACTGCTCAATCTACAGGCAGCTTTGTAGATAATTTCAGCTCCCTACAGCTGAAGACATGGGTACGGAGTCTGCCAAAGGCTTGAGATGCACATCTGATCTAATGTTGAATCTCTTCATTGATTTCTGCAGTGGTGGACAGGAGGGAGTGAGATACTGAAAGTGTGTAACATTAGAGAGGGTAGTACCATTTAACCGGATGGATGGTGGAGGTGTGTCTGAACCAGGAGCAGGCTGAAAGAGAATTTGAGTCTTATGTACATCCACCTCAAGGCCGGAGTGTGCATACGCATCTGCGTAGGTGGCCAGCATCTCCTGTAGTTTGTGTTCAGTGTGAGCGACAAGGGTGGGGTTGTCTGCATACTGGAGTTCAGTAATGGAAGCTGCTGACAAGGGTGAGGTTGTCTGCCTACTGAAGTTCAGCAATGGAAGCTGCCGACAAGGGTGAGGTTGTCTGCTTACTGAAGTTCAGCAATGGAAGCTGCCGATACCTTTGTCCCTGCCTGGAGTCGTCTTTTGTTGAAAAAACCTTCATCCGGCATTTGATGTCCAACTTTGCTGGCTAAATTGGCACTGGCATGAGAGAGAGAGTTGTATGTTGTGAGGCAGATTGAAAAAAGCATTATACTGTAGTGATGAAAAAATGATCAATGAGGTGAGACACATTGTAATCCAAACTTAATTAAGTCTCGAGGAGTGAAGGGAATCATTATGGATATACAATATTAAGGATGGTAGGTGGAACAGATAGGATTTATGGTGGGTATACAGGTTAATTGTAACAGGGAAGAGTACCAGGGGAATGTAGGCAAAAATTGCAGAAGAATAAGTTTGTTGAACACACATTGGAAACCTGATGCAATTTTTGTGATGCAGCTGATCCCAGTATAGATTATAAATAAATGGAAAAGATTAATTTGGTTTAACACCAGATTAGTACCCCCTTTCTTTTTTACTCTCTTATATAAACATAATGTGGTCCAGGATGCAACATAATATTTATTTACTGATGGATTGATTGCAAGATATATAAAATATGCAGAAGAAAGCAGTACTGTACCTGGATGATATCTTTACACACAAGTTCATGTGCCTGTGTCCAGTAGAGGTGCTGTATCATCACTGGCGCTGCTTCTAACACATGTAGTAAGAGTGTTTTTAGGTTCTAGCCACCCTGCACTATGGCAGGAAAGAGCTTGCAAGATTGAAAAAATAATAAATATTAATTTTTTTTGTTTATTAGGAGAAAGTTGAATGGTGAGTATGGCCTGCTGATAGAACTGATGGAAAAGGCTGCCTTCAGGAAATTGATTGCTCCAAACACTCGCTGTCTAGCAAAAGAGTTCCTTTGTCCTGACCATCAGTGTGTTGTCACTCAAGTAAGCTAATCCTTTATTTTCAAACCTTGAATTGTTTGAGTTCATTGCCTTCTGTAGATGCAAATAAAAGTCCAGAAGAAAAGTATCATATTGCTGTCCATTGTTTAATATTAATTACTTCTTTTCTAGCCAAAGAACTCATAAAATTCACCTCTTCTTCAAAAGTACAGTAAAACCTCGATTAACCGCCCACATATGGGGGGAAGGGACCGACGGATAATCTGAAGGTCGGTCAATAGTAAATAAAGTCTCCGGAAATAAAACATACATTTTCAATGTACCTATCCCTAACCTACCTCATTTAAGTCCCTCCATTCATTTTTGTTCATTTGCCATTCATATTTCAATAGAATTTGCTTTATAACATTAACCACTTTAGTAAATAAATATGAACCAGCTTATAAACTGTAAATAAAAAATGGAAAAGTCAAAGAACATATGGCATCACAAAAATTTTGACCAAGTCCCAGGTTGCTGATCTGACTTTCTACCTCATTTACACGCAATTGCAGGGTCTCAATTGTTTCTCTTACTATTGACAACACAACGTTACATATATTGTTTCTCACTTTTGATTTTTTTTTTCATTTTTGCATTTCTTTATTATTATCATCATCATCACCATCATCATCATCATCATCATCATCATCATCATCATCATCATCACATTTTCGCCCCTCAGGCCCCGATGTGGGTCAGTGACCTGTGCCTTGGTGGGCGAATCCCTGTAAAAAAAAATTGTTCAAAAAGCGGTTATAGCCCTACAGGTGTCAGACACGCGAATAAATGACTTCCGTTGCTTTCAGATTGTTGGACTAAATTAGAATTTTTACCAAAGGGTACATCGCTTGGATACCTGGAAGATTCAAATAATTGGAATTCAGATTAAATGAATTGCACGGTAAATTAAATAAAATCTGCGACATTGGATTTACCATGCTAGTGGAGACATTCTGCGTACAGTGGCTGGCCTGACATGAATGGGGGAGGTTGTTGGGTGTTTCTGGGTTAGTACTGCAGGAACCAACTTTTACCAGGGAGTGTTGAATATTCATTTTGGTGCTTTAGATAATCTGTGATGCAGTGTATAGTACTTTATACCCAAAATATTGGGGTGCTACAACACCCTCCCTTCTCACATCTATGTACTGGGTGGAGTGAGCCAGCACACACCCTATCGCAACAAGAACAAACACCATACTGACCATTGACCAAGTGTGGAGCGCAGTGTGACGAGTGTTACCCATCTGGCCAAATATGCCAAGATTTTCTCAGATAATTTTATATAACCTCCAGTCTTACATGTCTTAGGGCTGTACTGGGAAAATATCAAAAGGTTTGACATGCATGTTCATTCCTGGTTTTGTTGTAAAATGGGTCTTCATAATTAAAACCTTCATTTTTCTTTTATTGTTACCACCACCACTTAAGTCATATCATGTTTTGGTGTTTCTCTTTGCATTCCTGTATATTCTTGATGTGTTATTAATCTACAGTATTTGTACATTGATTTAAGAACTAGAGGTGAGAGCTTCCCTTACAGGTGAATTAAACTAAGGTAGTAGGTATTAGGCAAATACCAAACAGGGAGGAACTACCGCCTGGGAAGATATTGGAAGCATAATGTATTGCCTAATGGTAGACCATGCTTCCACATGGCATTGCGAAAATTGTGACTATGTCCCAGGTTGCTGATCTGATTTTCTGCATCATTTACACACAATTGCAGGGTCTCAATTGTTTCTCTTACTATTGGCAACACAACATGCGTACAGTATATTGTTTCTCACTTTTGATCTTTTTTCATTTTTGTATTTCTTTATGGTTCTTTATTATTATTATTATTATTATTATTATTATTATTATTATTATTATTATCATCATCGTATATACCCGTGTGTAGTTCGAGTTTTTCAGACCAAATTTTTTGGCAAAAAATTGGGGGTCGACCTTTAAACGGGTAATAGTTTCGTTAGGTTGAAAAATATTTACCAGTAACTGCCAGTAAACAATGGAAATGACTCACCACCAGCTGTGAGTGTCAGTACAGTTGCCAGGGCAAATCTCTTGCGTCATCATAGCAAGCCCAAAGTAGCCAAGTGCATGGTATGGTAGCACAGGACGATATAAAACATAAAGTATTCATTTTCAAAAGTTTATTTATAGATACATAAATTTTGTTCATTAAATTTGAAACATCAATCTTTGTTAATTAAATTTGAAACAAAAGAAAGCTACGATACCGTATTTCTAAATATTTTCATTAAAATATTACATCACAAGTATATTTTACCTTAACTGTGCCTGAATGAAAATATTCTCAGAAATAAATATGGAAATGTAATATTTTTGCTGAAATGACGTACGTATTACAATGGAAAGTGGGATAAAATCGTGACGGAAACAATGAATTTCGCTTTCTTTCGTTGTTCAAAAGATTTTACCGTAATCGCTTTTCGAATGGTTTTGAGTTAAAAAACTGTTGTATTACAATAATATTCTAATCTAATTCACTTGAATAAGTACTACGATACCATATTTCTGAATATTTTCATTAAATTCCATCAAAATCATAATATGATGTGAGTCAGGTCATCTACACACAGTTGCCAGTTTCAAGATTTTCCATTTAAAATTTTAAGTTACCGAGTATTTCTTTTCCCAAATCGTTTTACAATACTGTAAGTAAAACAGTTTACTCTTGTGCAAACCCCACAGAAAAAAAATAAACAAATGGAGACACCAAAAATGTAAAAAAAAAAAATGCTGTCTGAATTGCAACACTGTTGGTAGGGTCAGGTGGTTCTAACGGCATCCTGCCAGTACCCGGTAATCAAATTTATAACAGTGTTTAACCTCAATTATTGTAGTTTATCTGATGTAGGCAATATGAAGTAGAAAATACCGGTTAAAGTGAGAAATTGGAAGAGAATAAACAAGAAAGATGTCGTTGGGCTATTTTTGGTAGGGCTGAGGGAGAGAGTACCAGCTGTTTGGTCTTTTTTGGCGGGAGAGTCACGCAAATATCCGTACTGGTATTTGTTTGGTGTCTTCTGTATTTTTAAAAATGAATACAGTGAGGTATGCTATAACGAATCTAATTGGTTCTAGAACCTCGTTCGTTATAGGATTAATCCGTCCCAGGCCCCCAAATACTACCTCTTAACTCTGAAAATTTTCTATGGAAAATTTAAAAAATACGGTACTTTATCTTACCTTAGTGTTCAGCATGCAGGACAGGAGGCAGAGGAGGAGGGGAGAGGAGAGAATTATGGAGAAGAGGTGGAAGGAGAGGAGTCATCCTTCCTAGCCCTCTTTGGTGACTGTCTTACAGGCACTTTGTCTGTAGGTTCTTTTGTTACTTTTTTAAAGAAGGAATCCAGGGTTGGCTGCTTCAACCTTGATTTCTGGACCTTCCAAAAGTAGTTCATCACATTGTCATTAAACACACTGATGCCCTTTTCCACAGCACCAACATCAGGATGATAATCCTCCTCAAGCTTAGACAGCTTGCTCCAGCACCAGAACACATCCTTGAGATCTTTGGCTGGAATGATGCGGCTTTCCTCCTTGTCCTAATCCTCCCCTGACTCCTCAGAAGTTAAGCTCCGCTTCAGTGTCTCATTTTCCTCTTTGTGAAGCTCAAGCAGTTCCTCAGTGGACAGCTCCTTACTGTGCTCATCCACCAACTCATCAACAACAACATCATCATCATCATCCACTTCCAGGCCCATGGAATTGCCCAGACACATTTTCAGGTACAACAGCCTCTTCCTCTAACTCTTCGAAGCCTTCAAAGTCTCCTTGAAGCACACATTCAGGCCACAATGGCCTCCAAGCAGCACAAAGACACCTCACAGAAACCTCTTTCCAGGCTGACACAATTAAAAACACAGTGTCTGCTATATTGAAGTGGCTCTTCCAAAATTCCTTCAAACTAACATCACTGGAAGAAGTGGACGCAAAACATTTTCTAAACAGTACCTTTGTGTACAGCTTCTGAAAGTTTGAAATTACCTGTTGATCCGTGGGCTGGATGAGAGGTGTTGTGTTGGGTGGCAAGAAGTGCACAGTGATGAAGTTGAACTCCTCTGGCAATTCAACCATCAAATTAGGAGGGTGGGCTGGTGCATTGTCCATCACCAATAAAGCTTTCAGTGGAAGATTATTCTCCCTGAGGTATTCCCGAACACTGGGTCCAAATACCTCAGTCACCCACTCAGAGAAAAGACTCCTAGTCACCCAAGCCTTTGGGTTTGACCGCCACATAACACCAAGGCGGTTCTTCCTTATGTTTTTTAAAGCTCTGGGGTTTTCTGCATGGTACACAAGGAGTGGTTTTATCTTGCAGGGACAGGCCAGGGACAGAAGTTTCCTCCCTTGTAATGTATGTATGGCGAGGCATTTTTTTTCAAAAAAGTCCAGTTTCATCACAGTTGAATACCTGCTGAGAAACAAAGCCTCCCTCTTGAATCACATTAAAAAAAATGTCATGGTGTTCCTTAGCTGCACTAACAGCATCACCATGTCTCACAACACTGTGTAATTTATTTCGTCTTCTGAAACCAGTAAACCACCCCTTGGTACCCCTAAACACTGGCACATCACTATCACTTCCACTGGGAGTCTTGGCTTTAAGGTCCTCAAACAATTGTTTGGCCTTCTCACAAATTATAGCTTCACTAATGCTATCACCTGCCATTTCTTTCTCCCTTAGCCACACTAAGAGTAAATTTTCCATCTCCTCAATCACATTACACCTTGCTTTGCTAAGTCTAGAGATTCCCTTAGCCACTTGCACAGTTTTTAACTACTCTTTATTCTTCAAAATCGTACATATAGGCAATTTAGCCATCCCATATTCATCACTAAGTTTTGCAATGCTTGTTCCATTCTCACGTTTCTTTATGATTTCTTTCTTAGTTTCAAGGGTTATTAGCTTTCTCACTCGCTTTGGACGATTCTTTGTTACAATTGTACACTTGTATAACAAAATAATTATACAAATAACACGAATTTCCACATCAAAAGACAAAATTTCAACAATAACAGTGGTGCACTGGCTACACAATGAGACAAAGATGGCGCCTGACGCTCTTGTTGTGAGCCGCGGTACAACAATATTCATGCGCCAGACAAAATAGTCCCGAATTCATCCGCGTTCATTGTAGGAGATGCGTTCGTTGTAGCATTCTCAATTTTATAGGTAAAACCGTTCGTTATAGGAATATTCGTAGTAGGATCCGTTGGTTATAGCATACCCCACTACTTGTAAATTAAAAGTACCGTAACACTGTATTATATACAAACTTGTTATATTTCTGGAAAATAATAAGCAAGAAAATAAGAATATACCGGTAAACACAATTTCAACTTACGCTAAAATTAAAGGCTGCTTAACCCTAGAACACAAACTCTATTTTGCGTCACACCATCACATACCCCGGGTGAAATTTACCCATTTTTTTATTAAATAACCACACTTAGAATCATTATTTATTAAATCTGTAAAAATCCATTGAAAATATAGCTCTTCTTCTTTCATTTGACCGAAAGAAAATAATTATTATCCTAAAACTTAATACTGTAATGGTGACTTAGAAACATTTACTAAAATTACGTAAAATCACTATATGACTAATCCTTAAAATCTATGGACAAGAAATTACTGGCGCGGAGGACTTGAGGTTTGGTGAGGACACTCCCAGGACGTGAGGGCCTCACCTGATGGAGCCACAACTCTTAACTCCCACTACGAACTATATGGGAGACACACAAAAAAGGATATTTTTTTGTGAAAAAAATGGGAATTTGTGCTGAAGATCAGCACCCCAAGTAATGCCCGGATCTCTGCTGGATCTGTTTTTGTGTGGGTTGCAGTCTGCCGGGCATACTTGGCAGCCAGCTCCTCAATTTTCTTGTTTGTCCATCTAACAATGATGTCAGTTATTTTTTGTTCGAAGAACAAGAAGAAGGCCTTGATAGGAGTGTCTGCGCTCTGTGCCTCAGGTGTTGGCCCTTGGGTAAAGGGTGCTACTGTGTTCCTTGCACCTATCCTAGCGCCTACAGGATACTGTGGCCGACAGCTCCACCGGAAACCACTTGTGCTGGCGATGGTACTGGTATTGAAATCCACAATTTCCGGTGGGTCGTCTGCATCAAGGAGCTGCCTCATTCCCCTGCGGCGAGCATGGATAGCAGGAGCAGCAGCAGTGGCAGCAGCAGGGGCAGCAGCAGGTGCAGTAGCAGGAGAGGCAGCAGGTGTGGCAGCAGGGGCAGTAGCAGGAGAGGCAGCAGGGGCAACAGCAGGTGCAGCAGCAGGGGCGGCAGCAGGGGCAGCAGATGTTGAGGCCGCAGGGGCAGCAGCAAGGGAGGCGTCAGGGGCAGCAGATGTTGAGGGAGCTGGGCCAGCAGAGGTTGAGGCAGCTGGGGGTTTCCTAGGGGTAGATGTGTACCTGGGTTTTTTCCACTTAGGCTTACCATTGTCATCATCACTTTCATCGTCCGGGTCAGGCACATAATCAGCATCAATGTCACTATCTTATAACTCATCATATTCTAAATTATCAACCTCACCCTCATCATCACTCACAGTGTCACTGTCCTCACTACTAGGCACTGACAAGGCACCTGTTGTGTTCATCAGATAATCTAATTCTTTGTCAGTGTAGTATTTCATTGATTTCTTAGCCATGTTGCAATTAGAGTTCACTTTAGTGCCCCTGAAATAGCAATAAACACGACCTGCAAAGGAAAACGACGTAAATAATAATTCCCAAATAGTACACCAAAACAATCGTCGGGAGTTTTCCACCCGCTCCGAAAGTCACTATGTGTTGGAAACGTCGGGTGGAAAACTCCTGTTTTCGAATATAGGGAAAAAACCCAGGCAGAGAGCAGGACAGCACACCCACCCTCGATCATACCACAAAGAGGACTTAGGGTATTGGGCACCACGCGATCCTAGCCCCACGCTCCTCGCAGGTATCACATGATACCAAAAGCGTCGGGTGGAAAACTCCCGGGGTTTGTGTTCTAGGGTTAAGAAGGGTTGATGCAAAAACAAAGCCTCCGCGACCAGGGCCCTGCCGTATCAGCTAGACTTTACACGTGTTCGAATTGTTTTCAGTTAAAAAACTGTTACATCACAAGTGAATTAGGACAGAATATTATTGTAATACAACAGTTTTTTTAACTGAAAATCATTCGAAAAGCGATTACGGTAACATCTTTTGAACGAAAGAAAGCGAAAGTCATTGTTTCGTCACGATTTTATCCCACTTTCCACTGTAATACGTACGTCATTTCAGCAAAAAATATTACATTTCCATATTCTCAGAAATAAATAGTAGTTTTGCTGAAACGTGATGTATTTCAATGTAAATTAGGATAAACTACATGACGAAAACAAAAGACTTTACCTAACCTTCCGATGTTCAAGAGATGTTACTCGTTTTTTTAATAGTTTTCGGTTAAAATACTGTTATATTAGTGATATTCTATTCATACTGTGGTTGATATAATACATTCACGGAAATGTAATATTTTTGTTGAAATGATGTACGTATTACAGTGGAAAGTGGGATAAAATCGTGACGAAAGCAATGACTCACTTTCTTTCGTTCAAAAGATGTTACCGTAATTGCTTTTTGAATGGTTTTCAGTTAAAAAACTGTTGTATTACAATAATATTCCCTCCTAATTGACTTGAATAAATACTTGAAAGGAAATATACAATATTTTTGTTGAAACAACCCGCGTTTCAGTGTAAAGTGTCGTAATAATAAATGGTAAACAATTTGCCTTCGGCACTCAGTGTTTCAGGCACGGCGAGCCTCAGTTTATAGGACGTAGAGTGTTTTTACTGAGGGTTTTGTTGTTCCATTACCCTCAAAAACTTGGGTCGACCTATAAACGATGAATATCATAAATTAACAATTTCTTGGTCAAAAAATCAGGGTCGACCTATAAACGAGGGGGTTATAGACGAGTATATACGGTATTATTATTATTATTATTATTATTATTATTATTACTATTATTTTTATTTTTATTACAGGTACTATTATTATTATTATTATTATTATTATTATTTTTATTTTTATTATTATTATTACTATTACATTTTTGCCTCCCAGGCCCCAATGTGGGTCAGTGATCTGTGTCCAGAAAAGTCTTTGGTCACTGTAATACCACCCACCTAACTAATACTGTACAGGCAGTCCCCAGGTTACGAAGGTCCAACTTGTGAACATCCGCCGATATGAACGGTGTTAAACATTAAATTTCCAACATTTTATTTACCTGATGACTTATTTTTTACTTTCATTTCCTGAATTTCCCTTGTATATTTCTTCTTTTGTCTCAAATTAAGTGATTTTAGATGTATATAAGGATTTAGGCTATGATATAGTGGGATTTTAAACATTGTTTTGCAAGTATGATATGCACATAGCATGTGTTTCAGCTTGCTTACATTTTTTACTTAAGAACATCCCAAGGAACGGAACTGCCTGTGTAGGGAAAAACATGAAAAGGATTGACGTCAGATAAATATTTGTTCTTAGCATCCTAGGAGGGGATTAAAAATGCAAGCCTGCCTTTTTTTTTGTGAGCATGATAATGCAAACTCAGAAATACATATTGATTTAATTAAACTTAGCACAGTGGAATCACGATAATTTGTGGGTTAGGTACCA